AATGAATTTTTCTTGGATTTAAATTTCTATAAATTGTCCTTATAAATATCTTAACCCACACAAATGCCCCTATTTATTCGGCACAATTTTCGGTTATTTTACCAAGATCTAGTTCATTTTGATTTTCTTTTTCGTCGTGCTCATTTTGAACATTCACCTCGGGCCACGTTGGCGGCGTGGCAAACATCGTATAGATTAAATAGTTTTCTTTTACGGTGCCGAGAAGTTGTAAAGGATAGATTTATTACAGGGAGTTGCCTAAACTATCCTCGGTCTGATCAAAGCTCGTCCCGATCTACTAGATGTTGGCGTGTAACGCGTATACCACACTGAAAACGGAATAGACCGGACGCCTAAACTGCATTTTACGACTGACAGCGTCGTAAAACGTAATGCAGAAACGCTTTTGGACTGTTGCTCAACGTACATAAATTCGCACTGTGCAAGATTTCGGGCGTGTTATGCGTTTCAGACGGAATCGTTTACGGTGAAGGAACCTCGGTGTGCCATTCACGCGACGATTGTGCTTTATTTGTTAACGGTGAAAGGAAACTCGTTGTGAATAGACCGTGGATGTTAAAGCAAAGTAAAAATTAAATGGAATTTAACACTAGGAAAGAAGGAAGGGATAATTTAATAAGGAAATACGAAAAATAATTACCAAATTGACAGATTTTATTAAAAATTCTATATTTGATAATGTAAAGTTATTGTTACAGGTCAGAATAATTTTTATTTTATTTTATTTCGTTATTCACGTACATTAAAATTTCATTGAACAATTCGCTTTATTAATTTAAGATCAGTGTTCAAGTGACATATTTATTTACAAGCCATACAAAAATAAATTCAAAATTTTTCCGTTATTTATTATCGTGAAAGAATAAATGTTAATATTAAATCTAAGTAAACACCAAGCATATATATTATAATAGGAGGAATGTTTTCATATTGTCACTGTATTGTATGCACAAATACGCTACATTTTATGTTTTTGTATAATATTTTATTTGCTTCATATAATTACAATTGTCAAATTATTTACTAGTAAAATTGTATATTGATCTTGCTACGACGTTCAGTCCATTTGAAATAATGGCGAGAAAGGAGAAACATGTAAATTAACAATAATTTCCTTACACATTTCGCTAACGAGAAACTTCTGTAACAGATTAGATTCAAATTAGATCGACAGAAACTGTAGAGTCGTTCGAGAACTGAAAAATTACTAATACACCAATTAACCAAACGGTACATTCATACAAGTGTACTAGAATTACTTCTTTCGTCTATCAATTTTACATAAAAATCTTGCGTCAATAATAAATTATTAATAATAATAAAACTTTTCACGAATCTCAACAGTTGCAACCATCTCAGTGGCTGGCCCAAAACACCGAAAATCCCAATACCTCCTAGCCCATTAAGTAATATTAATTAATTACGTAAGTAATATTTCGAAAGCTTCTCGCTTGTTAGTCGTCTTTCCGACATAGATCCGACCAGGATTAATAACATCTATGTGAAATGAATGCGTTTAATATTCATACGGAACGTCAAATATAATTATGCAACAGCCCCTGGTGTAACTCGGTTACGTTTAATATGTAAAATTACTTGTTGCGGAATTAAATTCATCATAAAGTTTTCATTTACTCCGCGCCGAAGGCGTAACGATAATCGGTCGAATGTAATAAACATGTCCATCCAATATTCGTACGTTTTATTTTCCAGGAATAAATTACGAATAATAACGACAAACAAGGGGGGAGGGCAACGTACGTTCCTTGGGCAAGATGTGGATGGTAAAAACCTGGTCTTCTGTCGGATTTAATAGAAAATTTGTAGCTTTCTCTTGTTTTTTTTTTCGTTCACGGCTTGCTCGAAAGTTAAATGAAAGAAAGTTTCGCCGTATACTTTAGGAAATTAGTCACCTTGCTTATCGAGGGGATACACAATACCCATTTTTCCGGTCTTCCCCACCTCTCCTGGACACCCTTCGACCACCTTTTACTCACTTAAGGGGTCGGTGTTGCAGTCTGAACTCCACCCTGATCCGCAAATATTGGCAACCCCGTAACAGCTACTCGTAAAAATCACTTGATTACAACCCCTCCCTTATCACCTTAAGGGTCTCCATAAGATGAGGCTGAAAGTAAAAAAAAAAGTCATCTTACGACTTTTTTTATGTTCATTGAGTGAAACACGGAATTTGGCCCGGGGCGGAAGTTTGCACCGCCGCGTTGACTCTCCGTTCTTCCGACTTTTCGCGTTCAACGCTGCGCACCGTCGTGTTTCGTAATTTTCGTACAGTTTAACTTCGGTAGTTTGTATCAATAATAGAGGCGACGGTCCTTAGAACGAAGAACTAGAAATTCGGAATTGAATTCTATGAATATTTGAATATTTGCGCTGCTAGGATTTTTTAATGCAAATTGTCCAGCGGTTACGAGGAAATCTTCAAATAATTTGATTTATTTTCATCGACGATACTAGTTGATACAAAACTGTAGTGAACTGAATTTCCATTTGTATAATGAAAAGTATACAATTGCTCACATACTTTCGAAATTATCATCAAGCAAAATCTCATATAAATTGTTATGTGATACATATGTGTTTACCATCGTTATTACTTTTATCACGTTTCTGTTACACATTTACCGTATTTTCAATATAGGCTTTGTGGCTCTGCACGCAATTTGCCGAAAAAATACAGTAACTTTCTATGTTCTAATAATTTCAACAAAATTTGTTTATTAGGTTGTACAACATGAAATTGCCGATATTGAAATAGTTGATAATCAACCGCGTTTAGTAAATTAAATATGATCTACATTGTTTGTCGTGTTAGTCATGAAATATAATATTATCGATGATGTTCAGTTATTGTGACTCTTTAATAATTCTACGTGTCTGAACAATATTGCTACCGGAGTAATAAATTCGAAAACCTTTCCAATACGAATTTAAATTCAGTTATGGCATAAATGAATTATGCCATAATTGGCTTTAAATTCGTTGAAATTAAACCTGACTTAAACAGTTAGTGAAATGCATGACTTTATAAATTAAATTACAAAGTCTTGCATTTCACTAACTGTTTCTTTAATTCTGGGAAAAAAAAACATTTCCTAATCGTGAATAGGTAGTTGCAGGAGTTTTAACAATTCCTACAATCTACAATAAAAGCACCAATTTTTATGAAACTAAAATGTATCAGATAATATCTCGTTTGAAGAAAGCTATTAATCGTCACGGTACATATTTCAATCGAATAAACTTTTTTTTTTCAAAATGAACGTTTCCGTGTCGATCCATAAAAACGACAATTTCATATCGTATAACCTTATTTACTACGCTACAATAAAGTCATCGAATGAAACGAAATACAATCAATGAAGTAAATTGCAGCTGGTAACTCGAAATCGTACTCGTTGCACTGTGCAGTTTAACCCTGGTGAACTTGAGCTCGAAGTCTGATTTTCAATTATGGTGTTTATTGCAGAAACTTGTAAACGAATTTATCATTAACAGTCAAAATTTTATTACAGTCTACGGATATGCGAATATAATTTCTCCATTCGATTTCCACTTTGGCCCAATTTAATTACCATTTTAATAAACATATTTTTTTGTTTATTGAATAATGTACGAGGATTAACAAAAAATGTTGTGTTCGAAAACACAGGAAACTGTTGGGACAAGAGACGGGGGGAATGTTGCTTTTAACAGTTCCGGGAGGGGGAAACGGTTACGAAGCGAAATCTTTGCGACTTTGTTCATCAAACGGGACGGCACGAAATACCGTAACAAGTAATCAAGTTAGACCGAGATTAAGAGATAAACTGTTTCCACGTTTTATTTACCATAAAGCGGAGGTGGATTAATTCCTGCCGCGATGGAGAGGAACTTTCAGCGATTTTTTTCGAGACTCGGATTCGGAAAGTTTCGCCCCGGTTTTAAAAAGAAAACTGTGTTTCATTACGCCGTAAATGCGCCGGACAACCGTGCCGTCCTTAACGACTCGCAAAACGTTCGAATAAATTGGAACAAACGGGAAACCCGCAACAGCCATTATAAGTTTAAATTGCTATTTTAATACAAATTAAATCGTTCTTCGGCAATCGTTCATATTATGGTGTGGCGCATAAGTTGACGGATTTTTTTTTTACGGGGTCGTGGTAACGCAATCATAAATGCGCTACATAGGATAAATTTTAAAAATCGTAGACGAAACATTTGTTTTACATTTAACTTATTTTATCATTGAATCACAGCCACTTGTTAAGTAACAACGATCCAAAAGTTTCCAGTTTCAAGGGGAACATCACTGTGACGACCGGGAAAATAAGCCTTTTTTGACGAATTTTTTTTCAGGAATAATTTATAGTTTCCACGTAAACCTTTTAAAAAAAATGAATAGAAACACTTACTGTATAATGTCTCGATGAGTGCGACGTACTCGGGTCCGCTTCGGAGCATTTATGGCAAAGCGGAAAGGTCTTGAGCCCCTTATAAATTTATGTTGTTTTGTTCTTTTTTTTATTTGAAGCCGAGTCTCTGCTTAGGCGTCTGTTGACTCTGTTTTGATTGATTCCAGAGGAGGAACCTCCATATGGTGGGAATAACGCCGTTGCTTATGTCGCATTCATCGAGGAATCACTGTACTTTGTAATAGACCAGGTGTTTTTAAAGTTCACTAACAATAAGACGATTCAAAATCACAGAGGTATACGATATATTTTAACCCGTTTATGGGGTCGCAAAAGAAATTTACTGTAAATTTAAAGTCATCCTAGTGACTGGGCCATACGACGTGTCAGCTTTGGTATTTCAATAGACAGGAACCTGATACGATCTGATCGATAAAGGGTCCATGTTGTTGTACGACATGGAAGGGTTATGTAATCTGTGAAGTAACTTTAACGGCGTTACCAGTAGGAAAAAAAAGAATTTGCCGTTGTGCTATACGATAAAACAATTTCTTTTTGTTTCAGGTTCTTCTATCTTTATCACTTCTCGTTCTACGCTTACCATTATCGATTTAACGGGCAGTACAGCAGCCTTGCGCTCATCACATCTTGGCTGTTCACAATGGTAAGAGATTTCCTTTTTCCGTGGATTATGCATGCCTTGTAACACACAAATTACGAATTCTCTCATACGGAAACACAAATTTCGAAATACAGTATGAAATTTTAAACATGGTAAGATTTCAAACAATTGGTTGTGCATAAAGTAAATTTACACTTATCGCATCTTGTCCCAGGTTGCTTGACACAAATGATTTATCTAATCAAAAATGGGACTCACCTACTCAGACGAATTTTTATAGCAAGTTTTCACTTTTCAAAATAAAACTCTGACTTTGCTTCAATATTGATTCATTAAATTTTTTCGTTGATCGATAGTTACTAATTTATAATTAATGATAAAATAACAGCTGTCTCCCCTATTCTATCGTCTAGCGGGAAACTTGGAATGTTCCCCTAAAAGGTTAAATATGGTTTATTAAATTAACTACCAAAAAATTTCAAGATGAAGTTTGAACATTGTAGGTTATATTTTCATGGTTAAAAATCAACATTGAACGTTTCATAATGTTTACAAAATTCTAGTACACAAAAAACAGAATTCTGAAAAAAAAATGTTGGTTTAAGATCCCTGAAAATACTACTACATGGCGCCAGTAGTACCATTTTCAATAATGCCTCAAAAATATTTTGTTTCATAGTTAAATTCTGATTCAATTTGATCCAGCGTGACACCAAGCAATTAAAACCGTCCACCTTCCGAGGATTAAAAATTGCCTAACATTCAACGTGTTAATAATCGACTAATGTTCTTTAATTAATTATTAACAATATTATTCTCTATTAATTTTCCATCACTTTCTCTTTATCATTGGCTTTTCCGTTTCATCGTATCCACGAGGTCACGAACCAGTGTCCATTAAACAAAGAAATTTATATTCACCGAGTTCTATCCGGGAGCCCCTACGAAGGGTGTTGGTAATGTTGAAAACATTTTCCATTCGACAATAAATAGCGCGTTTTAAACCGGGCGGAGATTAACGCGCGAATATTTCGTTCTGTGGACGGCGACGGGGACAGTCTCGCGAACGTACAAGTACACTTAGGTGAAACTGTTTCGGGATTAAGACAGCGGCGCGCGGGGGACCGTTTCGCGGATGGCGAAATAATTGTCCGGCGTTGTAAACCGTTCCTACGGGAATACAAAAGTTCGCGGTGGGGAACAGTTGCTCGTTCCCACTTGAAAACCGGGCATTAATCAGAAATACTTGGCGACCTACTTGAGGAATACTCGAGAACGGAGAATAAATATGTTCTGACGCAAAGTTAGCGACGATGGCGTGTTGCTCGGCACTTATCAAAGAACTCTCCCTTAAACAATGGGCATGCGTCTCGAAATTATGTCACGGACCACTTTTCCGACCGTTATTTTTTTATTCCTCCTCTCTTTCTTTGCATGGCCGTCAGAGCACCGATCGATCATTCCCCTGGCATCGATCGCGAGGAATTTCTCAAGAGGGGGTCGCAAATGTGTTTGTCTTTCAAATTGCTTGGATCCGGATGTTCGACCTTCGTGAAAATATGTTTGCTTGCCCGTTGAACCAAGCTCGATTGAACGTTCCGGGGAAGTCGAATCGAATCGTTAGGCTGTGAACATTGTATTATGACTTTTCTTGTTTTTTTTTTTCAATTTTTAACACATTGACTGCCACGCCACACACTGGTCCGAATTAAAGATACACGTGGCATTATTAAAAAAAGTTGACTTTTTCATATCAATATCCGCTGATGGTATACTATTTCCTAGATATCCATTAGTCCTGAAAATGAAAATATTAATAAAATTCCATGGGTATTATAATAGAAACAAACACTTAAAGTTGGAGGTTTTAAGATTTGTGCTTTTCATCCGATAAAACTGTTTTCCTTCTTCGAGCTGTCATGATCATCTTGTTCAATATTTTCATTTCGTTTTTTATTTAAAATAAAGGGCATACTTTCGCGATAAGATATCGTTATGAACGTTTTCAGTAAATTTTCCTCTACATAGTTCTACAAGAATCATTTCTACCCTGGAGTCACAAGCATATTTTATCAGTTTCAAGTATTTATCCTGCTTTTGTTTTTTTAAAATGATTCTTTAAATAAATGTTTATTGTGTTGTATATTTTCATAATAATTGTATCTATAATAGATTATATATTTTCAAGATAATTGTACCCCTTTATCCTACAAGAATACAGCTATGGTATTATTGTCCATTTTGCAAAATTATGCATGTACTTCTTTATCGGGTCTATATAACCCGAACACAACAGGCGTACTTATTTATGAACAGAATAGAAGGGTTAAGGATCCGCCTTCGATTTTGATGAAACTTCGTATGTCTGTTAAGCAGTCAAAAATAAGGGGTACGTATTTTTTTTTATCGGCTGTTTATTTTGTTTTATCGTTTTGTTATAAACAAATTATATTTTGGACAATTTGTTAGCACCATATTATTCTACAAAAAAAGAACGCATACCTCGCCCATTAGAAGTTTTCATGTATCTCCTCTGGTTTTCGAGATAGTACTTTCGAGTCGAAACTTCGAGGGGTGGTTTCACCCCTTAAAGTCGCGTCTCAGCCGATAAAAAAAAATACGTATCCCTTATTTTTGACTGCTTAACAGATATACAAAGTTTCATCAAAATCGGAGGGGGACACTTCCTTCCGTGCCTTCCCTTGTTAGTTATATCACGACGGGTCTCATATTTACCCGAGGACCGTTTTCAAGTTCGACGGGGTGAAACGAAAAGAGAATATCTCGTGAAAGATCCCGTTGGCCACCGGTTGAAAGTTCTGCTATTGACAGTAGCGGCAGCGAATGAAGAGCAGGCTGTAGTTGTTGCTTTTGCAGTCGTGGACCCGGCATCGCGCGCAAACTTAAGTTACGTAAACGCGACCAGGACAATGCACATGACAGCTTAATCGATGGGAATAATTTAATGCCGACCGGGGATTTCATTGAGCGGACGTAAATACCATTCAATTGTAATTCCGTTGTATCAGATCCGCGTTCTTGGATGTCGTTTAATTACATCATATTGTTTCGGGAATGTCGGTTTGGCAGCACGTTTATTTCGATACTTCTTCTAATTCTCTGGGAGAAAATTTTAATTTTGCTTCGAGTAATATCGCGTTCAGATTATTTGTTCATTCTACATATTTCAATTTATTTGAATTAAATCATCGTATATTTATGTATTATTAATACATCGACTACTGAACTTACATTTAATATATCATGATCTAGGATGAAGTTCGTTTTCTTTTAACTAAATGAAAATTATGTAAGCCGAACTTTGTCATAGAATTTAGTTTAATCAGACTCCTCTGATCACACATGCTCCAACTATATAATTAACATAAATCTTCATAAAAAAACTCAAGCCACTTGGTCCATTTTAAAAAAATTGTTGGAGGTCAGGACTTTTTTGAATTTTACAAAAAATTATATTAAACAAGAGTTGAACTATACATAACTGTGTATAACTTTCGCAAATCAGAGTTTTCCCATCCGTATTTTTTATGGAGTAATGGATGTTACCTTCTGTTTTTTAAACAAAATTGTAGAATTTTTTAAATAATTGTCATTAGATCGAATCGCGACAAAACCAACGACTATAAATGTGTTACAAAAAGACACAAATAATGTGGAAAAAGTCAACAGAAGTTGCGCAATGTCGTAATACATCAAGAAGTTCGCTTCAGAAACAATCGAACGCTCGAAAGTATAAATATAACCGTGACGTTGTATAACTTCCGTTGACTGTTTATATTTTATTTGTGTCTTTTGGGCAACTTATTTATAGTCTTTGAATGTCTTATGATTCGCTCTAACAAACAATATTTAAACAATGCTGTAGTTTAATTTGGAAAACAAAAGGTGACATCCATATCTCTGGAAAAAAAATGTAGATACGGAGACTCTTTAAATTGACAAAATTTGTGTAGGCTTAAATGTAGTTAAACTTTTGTTTAATAACAATTTTTCGTAAAGTTCAAGAGAAGTCCTAAAGTTTCGTGGCAACACTCACGTGCGACACCATGTATGCATTGTTGATCACAAAAATTTTGACATGGTTACGTAATCAACTAAAAATATCTACAAGCACTGTTGTTTTTCTTTGCTACCAGACTCAGTTGTTTAAAATGACATTATTTACGATCTAAATGAAATGTGTCGAGAAAGATCGAAATTTTTAGCGACTTTGTCAGCTTGTCGACACGTGTACCACGAGTCGTTGAAAATTCACGGTTAAAAAATAAATTTTTCGCCGCGGCGATTATACGCCGCGTAATCTGATTCCGTAGCGCGTACCTTGATAATCCAATGAATCATAATTAGATCATCACGATGGGCGTATTAACTGTTATTATTATAATGGCATTACAATAGGCGGCCCGTTGCGTTAATAACTGCGTTCGTTACGTATCGTGCGTATTTTGCGCGGAAAAATTGAATTCCATTAAAGTGTAATGGAACGGCTAATTAGCCGATAAAAGATACGAATGAATAACAGATTGGACTGTTACGCGCAGAGAGAAGAAATAATGTTTTATGATGTGGGCATGTATGCATGAAAAGTGAAGGCGAGCCGTACTAATGCTTAATGCAGTGTGAATATTTGTATTTATAGACGCGAAATTGGAAAGCTTGTATCGAGGTATTTTCATTTTTGATCAAACTCAAACTTCAAACAGATTATAGTAATCGTAACCTTTTGCGAAGTAGGTAGGTAGGTACATCATATGTACCATTGTTATAAATATATTGAAATTACAAAAAAAAAATTATAAACTTGAATAATGATGTCACTTCACTCTCAATCTAATAAAATTCCATAGTGAGGAATGTTTTCTATTTAACCTTTTCCGATCTAAATTATTTCTTTCAAACCAAAATTTGTACATATAATTATTTCTTAGATGTCAGAAAAACAGGAAAATTATAAAACAAAAAGCAGAAAAAAATGGTTTATAAACAAAAACGAATATTCATTAAATAATTCCCAAATATTATTTTCGAAAATGTATTCGTAAGTGCTACGTAAATGAATGATTTCAAGTGGAAACCTACGGTCGGGGAGGGTTAATTTCTGTTTGTGTAGGAGAGACCTCTTCGAAACCAGATACTTGAGTAAAATTCGGACTTACTATTATTTTCAAAACAGTTTACAGTTTCTTTACGTTGCTGCGATCATATATCGCCGCAGTTTGCATCAGTTCATCGACAAACGTCGATCGCGATAGACGTGTGCGTACTAGGAGTTATGTTTCTTTGTGTGTTTTTTTAAATAAGTTTATTTATTGTTGCATCAGCATGTTTGCCATTAGCGACCACTTTAGATTACAGTTGTGTACATCGACTTTTTTGTGTTGTGATCGAATATTTTCAATGTTGTGTATGTAATTTTTACGTGATCAATCTAAAGCATTCAAATGGCCATTTCATATGCTACAATCTACTTTCCAAAATATGATATATTCAGAAGGGAAGACGAGTAAGGGTCCAAATTTATCCAGAGAACGTCACGTATGCATTCGTCAGATATGTTCATCGTTCGACAAGTAATTATTAACATTTATAAATGCAAATGTTCGTAGTTAATGAACCGTCAGTTCGATAACTTTGCATTAAAATGACGATCACCGCAGGCGATCGTCACACTTAATCAACGTCGATCACTAGTGACCGTTATTGTGGTGAACGGGCCAACATGAAAATCTCTAGAACGTGTATTGCCATCAGATCAAATGGCACATAATCACAGTTCCTGCAAAAATCAGCAATAGCATCCACACAGTTATTTTGCACCGTGTCAGAACTAATTGGTTAATGTTAGATTAACAGTTCGCTACCAGCGTCATATATAAGCCGTTCACAGACCAAAGTAACTAACTCCACTTTTAAAATTTGTTGAAACTTTAATGTCAAATCACTTGATCAGTACTCAACGTCTATGCTTGACCAGTCAAGAATTTTTATATTTTTTGTTATTTGTTTTGCTATCATCAAAATAAATTTCAATCGTAATCAAATGACGTAAGGGTATTGTGATTTTTTCACAACTTTAACCCTTTGCCGGGCCACTTTAGCACCGTCGGTACGCAGCCAGACAAATGTTTTACCACTTTTTAGTACTTAAACTATTACCAAAATAACTTTCAGCCGTGATCAAATGACGTAAGGGTATTGTAAGTTTTTTACAACTTTGATATTATAATGTCGTCAAACGCAGCCTGTCCAAGCTGCCAGACTACGATTTTCTCATTTCTAACTAAGTTAACTAAAGCCTCACAAATTTTCAGCTGTAATCAAATGACGTAAGAAAAAAGTTCACTGGCTCCCGGACTACAACAAGATGATGTGTACTCCCTTAACGCGTTAATAATCATTTATCACTAGTGCCTGTCATTACAGCCAACGAACAAACGAAAAATTTCCTAACAACGATTAAAAATTCCCTAACAACATCCGCACATTTATTTCTTTTTTGCATCCCGCGAGAACGCATTTTCATTCGCGAAACGGTCGATGGCCCAGGGTTCAGGTACCCCCTGGGTCCGCCTCGGTTGTATTCAATAACCGGAAAATACGTTAACCGGGCTATCGCGAATTTCGACAATATTCCTCCGTCGGGCAAATTAAGTTACTCCCAGTCCTGGCCCAGTTACGATTAACATCTGCCGATAGTTAAGCGGCCGGCTCGTTAACAAGAGCAGCCAGGCGGCCAAGCGACGATCGACAATTATTTCGCGGGAACGAGTTTACGAATAGAGCGGCATCGGTGTGGCCAGGATGGAAAATTCGAAAACCCGGAGGGCAACAAGACACGACCACCGGGTAAACCGGATCGTTTTGATTCCCGCCATCCCACCCAACCCCCTTTCCTCTCCCTACCTACCCACCCCCCACCTGTCTGGTGTTCCTCTTTTCTGTATAGGTCAGAGTTCAGACGATTAGCCCCGCGGCGTGATTATATGGCCGGTACCGATATCGATGTCATCGGCGTTGATTATTCAGCAAACGAAAATCCGATTTTCCCGGTAACTTGTTTCGTCCTGGCCCCCATCGTTTTAACCTGGGCTGTTCGGTTACTACCTTTTTCAACGAACTCGAAGCTCCCCCCGTCATCACCCGCCATCCATCCAGCGATTCACCTCAGCTCCACGGAGCTATAACTCGTTTTCTTTTTCTGAAACGGTATCGCAGATTCGTACCGTTATACCCCGGACGAATCACCGTTGGATACCATTTCCTTCATGTCGACGACAGGTGCCTCGGTCTCGAGATATCTATTTTCCATATTCAGCCTCGCTACTCCTCCGTCTCCCCGTGTGTCAGGACTTTCTTTTCGGTCCCGGGGCTCTCGAGCTATCGGTTTGCGCCCGTTTCATTTTGATGTCGTTTTATTTCCATTCTTTTTTCTTTTTTTTTTTTTTTTTATTTCGTTTCTCTGCTGCTCTTCGTTTTTTTGTATCTTCGAGCCGGACTCCTCTGTCTGTCTGTCGGGTCGCTGGATTTTTCTGTCGCTTCGGGCGCGAACGTATCGATTCGTGACGTTCACGAGAGGCTGCGCTTTTCTACGGAAGTTCCTACGGATGATTGTGGAGAGCTTCGATCAGTTTGGCTGTGTCGATCGGTCGGGGAATCACGAGGAGTTGGGTTGAACGTGAATTTTTTTTCGGGAGGCGATTGTTGAGAATTCCATGGAGGTAGAAAAGCTTGACGGATTGTATGGTAGGTCGTTTTTTTTTTTTTTGTGAAATGTATCGAATGTACAGTCGAATGCTTGGTCGATGTTGTAGTACAGACACCGCCGTTTGTAAATATTTGTTCAGACATCGAAGAATAGTTTACTTTCTTCGTTTTAAGTTAAATGTTATTCCTGTGACGTAGAAAAAAATGAATTGGAAACGAAGTAACTAAAGCTGTACGTTATTTTATGGGATATCCTCTAACAAGCAGAAATGAGGAATAATGATCAGATAAAACAATTGTAAGTCGTAGTCAATAACACATGAATATTTTTCGAAAATTCAAAATTTCATTTTTCAGGAAACAAAAGCTCTTATAAATAATTTTCTAGTAATTTTTTTTGTCTATAAAATTTATTTGTTTAAATAATATATTAAAAAAATAAATTTTACAATACTTTAGATGATTACATTCCCCATTAAAAAATACACCATTTACAAAAAAAATTTGTATCTATACCCTCTAGTTCTCAAAATATTCCAAAAATATGTTTTCAACCCCCAACTTTGGCTGTTTTCACCCCTTCAATATGGACGATGGTCGATATAAAAAAATACGTGTCAAATACTTTTTCGCAAACTATATCCCATATAGAGGGCATAAAAATCGGCGTGTCTGGGTTCGATATGTTCCCTTGTTAGTTCAAAATGCACCAATTTCTAAATAGAGAATATTTATAGTAATTCCTAACTGATCTAATATAAACGAGTACAATTGAAAGTACAGTGATTACTCGATGATTGCGACACGAACAACGGCGTTATTCCCACTACTAGGAAGGGGGGCGGGGCTGAAATCAATCAAATCAGAGTAAACAAAAGCTAAGTAGAAGTTCGGCTTCGGATAAAAAAAAAAATTTATGAGGCGTTGAAAACTTTTCCAACCTTGCCATGAATGCTCCGAAGCAGACTCAAGTACGTCGCACACATCGAGATATTGAGATTACTGTAGAAGTTACGACACAACAGGTTGCAGCTTAACAAACATCGCTGCCCTCCCAATTACAATTCCGATTCCCAACCCCCGTCTCCGCTCTTGTTTTAATAATATCTGAAATTTCTTTATTCGATACGCGCGGAATAAAATTATTCATACCCCATATGCGTGATGTAGAATGTTTGCAACTGCGGTGAATAAAGCTATTGCGATCGGCGCTGCACGTTCGGGAGCGAATCAAAGCGGGATGAAGAGGGACAGATTGACGGGCGGGGGTTCCGAAGGGTGCGAAGAGAACGAGAGAAACGGTATAGAACAAACTTGGTGAATTTCCATATAAATTTGCTGGTCACCGGGCGACATACACAGTTCGTAGAAACAAGTGGTACCGTCGGGGCGTATACGCCCGGCCTGTGTCCTTGTGTAGCACTTTCGATGGCGACTAACTAGCAAATTAAACGAACATAATTATTTTAATTCGACGAATCGATGTTTCATCGGGTGTTTGTTAATTGAGTACCAGAAAAATGTAAAATTGAATAAATGTAAATGTCAATTTTTTTAGACTGATTGTCAGAAACTAGAATCGAAGGGAAATTTTTCTCAGGTTACAGATAGGGCAACACTCTTCTTGAACCTTATTTAGTTCTTGCTATCCTTTTATAAAGTTTTTCGTGAACTTCTAGAAACTACTCTGAGAAATCAGAGATTAAGAACTAGGGTCTTTTACATATTAATCCTTGCCTTGCTAAAGTTATTAAGTGCTAAAATTATAAAGAAGTAACACTTATTTTTTGTTGAAAAATCATTACTTTTATTGAAATTTGTTTATATTATTTACAAAACTTAAACATTCATAATTTTCGTATCGAAACAAATCATTTAGAAAAATTACGTAAAAAGAACTAGTCTAGTCTCAAAATATTCTAAAATGTTTAAAATTTACAAATATTTTTAATTTAAACAACAAATGGTAATTACTGTTATCGCGTGACAAGTATACTCGTCATTACATAAAACATTGCCATTTCTTCATGACGACTGTACTCGTCATTCATAGATAAGAGGTTAAGGAGATATATTTTTGGCAGTGTAGCTTATGCGATTCCCCGCCGGCCAATTCCGCCGTAGCAAAGCAGCTAAAGATCCTATTACATTAAAAATTGACTGGAAATAGGAAAAAAAATGAAAATAAAATAGTCTATTATTTTATTTTGTATATTTCGAAGCACTACAACAACCAAGTAGAAATCACTGATGACAGCTAATCATGCTTTCCTTTATGATTCCAGCACTCGATGGTATACTTCTTCCACCATTACGAGCTACCTGTGATCCTACAACAGGCGCAATTGCAGCATCTTCTCTTCCGCAACAACCGTCAGCCCGGTATGCCTGAACCGTCAGCTGAACCTGCGTCCAGGGCGGACTCTGTGCTCATAACTCCTTCGGCCACTGTGGAGGCCTCGGTGGCACAGGAACTATCGGTTGCCAGGGTATCGGACACGGCAGAAGAGGGATCGCCGTCCAATGAAAACCAGGTTCAGTCGGACACTGGAGACACAGCTGAAACACAAGCAGAAGAACAAACCAGAACTGTGACGGAAACTTCTGAGTCGAGTCCGGAGCAAAGGAACGAGGAAGGTATTATTCGAACATCCTCATAGTTACTTCATTTCACAGTTCATTTTTTGAAATGTCTGCTCCTGAACTCGTATTTTCCATACGACTTAAACGTACACTTAACGATTATCGCATACTGTTCAGGTAATTTGCTACGCGAGTACACTTTGATTTAAATTATATTGAAAGAAGAACTTTACCTGCCACTTACTAGCAGTCAAACGAACGTTTAAAGAATTTTTTTTTTGTATAGATGTATAAAAAATGTTAATGCTAATTTCCTAATTTCATTTACACGCGTCTGATCCTCTTGGTAGGTCTTGTCCGTTCTCAGCGATGGATATTTATTTATTGATGGAAAGTATGATGGAGAGAAAATTGTATTTCAGTTTTTATGACCATGACAGTGGAAAGTAATGAATATATCGAAACTATCCCTAATGTATCTAAGGTAAAGTTAAGATCGTTTAAGAGGCTAGAGACTACAATAGAGAATGCAAAAAAGTATAGAAATGGCAAATTGTTTGGAAATCCACGGTTTCTGAGGTAATTTTTTATGTTCAGTTTTAATATTATAAATGCAGTACATAGGTACTTCGTCATTTGTACACAGATTCTTATTATTGTTTTAATTTCACATTATGCGTATTGTTGCGATTAATTGTCCATCATTGTAAGATGTGTTTCTTCTCTGTTGACGCGTACCTGGTTACGTTAGTATGTTCTTCTTTTAATCTTTATTATGGCCACCATTGTAAATTATAGTACATACACTGCCATTCATAAGTATTAAAACAGCCAGTCCGTTTGAAGAAAATGTGATGTTTTATAAATCGTGTATAATTCTAGCCACTTTTACTACTTTATATTAGCATAAGTATTGCCCATTGAGTTTTAATATCCCCTGAACAATATTTATTTCACACCTTTAGCAATTTCTTAATGCTTTATAATATTCACTTCATGTTCAATAGATATCCTACTACTTATGCATGGAAGTGTATTAATAATGTTACTCATATTTTTTTCATTTGTTTCGTACACAGTGTTAAATAAATCGAATGGTTGTTACAAATGGATTTATACCAGTTTAAAAAGAAAGCATTTGGGCAATTCCACTTAACAACCAAATTTCTTTTTACAAATTCCCAAGAATATTGTACTGTATTGACTTTGTTATTATGAATACAGAAACACGACATCTATCTGTAGCTGAAACTAACTTTAACTCTTTTTTTTTTATTAAATTGTAACCACACCGCCTAAAAAAAGGGTTTCTTCTCCTAAATAACACTTAGTAGCACCAGAAAAACTGTGTTTAACCCTTCAACTCCCAACATTGCACCGGTGCAGTACTCTTGTTAAAAGCGAGTCAAATTCTGTCGTCGATTAATACCTGTCTAACTTTTGTTAGCAAGGATCCGTAGTTTCATTGATGTGAAGTAGATCTCAAATTTATCGATTGAAAAAATAATGTATTCCTTAAAAAAAAGACGGGCTCGTTTAATATCAATATTTTCGACTTCGAAATAACAAGATGCAGCATATATGTATAAACAATTATTATTACCATGAACAACTATCATTCTTCATTTTAAATGATTTAGTTTACTTCACTTCCACAAGTATTAAAATATTTTCCACCCTGTTATTTTGTCGAGTTTGTTATGAAATCTTCCGAATAGGTTCACGAAAAACTGAATTACCAAAAACATCAATTTAAAAATCATTGTTTAACCCGTTCAAACGGGGAAACCTCTTTAACGCTTTTGTGACCAACATCGTTTCGAATTGAGAAAAAAAGGGGGTACGCGTGGTTTGAATCATTTTACAATGTTGAACACGCACTTTGTAGATCTCATGACACGATCACTCGTCAGTCTAACGCGTCACATGTATTGTTTGACATACGATACCTTTAGATCGCGTTTCCATTCCCATTGCCAAAGTAGCACCGATTATTTTCCTCTTTTTTTATTTCATCCACCGCTGTTTTCGATAATCCGCTGGAATCGATAATCCCTTTAACGAGTGAAGCTGGTATGTCAAAGAGTTTAGAGAATTTAGAGTGGCGGTCTGCCCCCAATTTAGAGAGATTGTTATTCGAAACCACAGCTCGCTCGATTAATTATTTATTCGGCGGATATTCGAGCACGGAAATTATGAGAAAAATTAACAATTTTTTAATAAGCTAAGTGAAATCAACTCTGGGTTTAATAACGCTATAATTTCCGTTTGTGTTTTGTTTTTTCGTTATTTTTATGCGAATAACGTGTTCTTTTGTCGCGTTTATTTAATATCGTGTTAATAACACGTTGCGTTTCAATTTTAATACAAAAACTGTGAATGCAAAATTCATTTATATAACGATTTTTGTCCAAGATATTAATATCTCATGTCCAGGTACCATTTCATATAGAATAATACCCGATGAAAATGTTCATTGTATTGTATTTCCATTCCACCGACTGGTCGTTATTTTGATTTTCATAAAGTTTCATTGAAGTTAAGCGCTTCTTTTTGGTCGGTTGTTCCAAACTATGAACATTTTTTTCATACTTATTTATATTTTATGTTCCCTATACTCGATTTTAGTTATTTCGACTGAATAGCGAATGAATCATTAAAACTGTGCACAGTTTAGTCAACTTCTATAAAATTACCCATTTCTTGTTTACAGATTCTATAAAATTGCCCATTTTTGTACACAGATTTAGACTGCGGATAGTTATGTAAATTCATATTTTTATAGATTATTTTACAGAACTTGGAACCAAACGGAGATTTCTTTGCCCTATTTGAGGTTCCATCGAGTTTCAAATACAATAAGAAATTCATGAAAATTTATCAAATTTTTAACTACAGTAATCATGTATGAAATGCGTAAAATCCGCAGTTTCCTGATGACAGTGTGAATATTTTTTTAAATAACTGCTTCTCATAAATTCATTTATTTCATTAATACAGTTTATGATAGAACAAATAAAACAATAAATTTAAACGCACTACGAATCGATAGCTAACGACGAACTAACGTTTAATTACATACAATAATGGCGCAACACAGGCATCTACGGAGTTAGTATACCGATACTCAATAGCGCAACGAAGGCGCCTACGGAGTGCAAAGGGTTAATAATCACCATCCGCAGGTTCTCTAATTTCACCCCGTCCAATCCTCCGTTCCGCGCAATTCACGTAACCCCGAATTATTCGCCTCATCTAGTGTTCGTCCCCATTCCCATCCTCGGATCATCCGGTACTCTTATCGTGTAGAAGCTGAACGTTGCATTGAATCTTAGCGACGGAGTGCCCGACGACGTCGAACACAGAAGCGAAACCAGTGGCGACGACGCCGGCGGTGGCGATATCTGGTAGCGGCGCGTCCTCCTCCTCCGAGGCGGGTGACAATGGATTGTCCACGGATACGTCTACGTCGGAAGGGTTCGAGGTGATCGAGGCCACGGAAGCGAGCCGGAAGGAAACAACCTCCCCGTCCTTACAGGACAAATAGAAGCTGCGAACACCTCGAGCCGTGCCAGTTGCATAGATGTGGAGGCAAGGACGAAAGGGGTTGTCGTTTCAGTGCGGTCGCATCCTGCGGCGCGGAACTGGAAGGACCTCTCGAGGATATCCGCAAGGACAATTCGGGCTGGCAGGTCAGCGCGTGCCGTTCATCTCGTGGGGACCATGCACGGGATCGAACAAAAGATGAACGTTTCTTTCTCGAGTACGGAAAAAGTTCTCAGTCCTTCATGGGTACTCTGGTCTGGATGATGGTGGCCAGGTGTTAAGTTTTAACGAGTAACCCAGGGGGCGGGGTAGGGGTGAAACGGGATAACTTGGTGGCTGGATTTCATCGTGCATGGGACCAGATAGCGAGGGAACATACTCCCGGCGTGTGAGGTTAACGCAGGGAAATATCGTTATTCCCAGAGGGGAAGGGTGGGTCGGTGACGAAAGACGAAACTTCGGAGGCCTGGCGGAACGATTTTTCGAAACGGACGGACGTGTGCTGTTTTAAGGGTGACGCAAGCTCGGTCGGATAGTCGTGTGTCGGAGGATCTGTGGTTCGTTAAATGGGTACGTTTGGGGGGTAGGATTTTATCGAGACGCTCGCGGGAAATTACGTCCAAGCCCTGAACGATGCTTTCGTCGGGAGCGCTGATCGTGCCGAACTATTCGTACGTCGATAACGCCGAGTTTTTCAACGTTCAGATGATATATAAGTAACTTATTCTGTGTGGATGGTTGGTGCGGATGGGGTGTGTAGTTACGTGGATACCGACGAGGTTTTAATCAGAATCGCACGTGCCTCCGATTGTTTCCTCGTAGTCGCGACTGTTATTATCCACCGGCATCGCGGAGAAATTGTTGATCCCGGGCGCAATAAGTTGGTGCTTATCCAGCGAATGTTCCTCCTTTTCCATTGTTCGGTAGTTATACGCGTAGAGGATCACTTTCCGCTGATAAATCTTGGCACGTTGAGCGACGGACCATGTAAAGGGCAGATCGGTGTTATCTACAGATGGGGTGTACCTTATAGTAACGATATAGTGAGTTGGTAAATTCCAGGTGTCATAAACGGTTTTTCTGGGGATTGGGATTAGTTAGGATTTGTGGATCCATGACCATCTTTAATATCTCTAAAATATTTTGAACCGGTGCAAAAGGGAAACTAATATCGAAAGAGGATAGTTTGCAGAGATATAGACAAGTTCTGGGTTAGTGTCATTAGCCGGGAAGCCTAACTTTGTACTTATAGCCTCGCTGAGTTAGCTATTTCACTATATCATTACTATCCACTATACCTTACCCGCTCGATCTATACAGGGTGTAACAAAAATGTTGTCCGACCCGGAAATGGGACACTCAGGGGTTGAATTGGAACAAGTTTTTCCTTAGCAACAATGTTATCCGAGGCTTCGTTAACGAGATATTAACGAAAAAGTCCAACCAATCAGAGCGCGAGTCTGCCAGCCGAGTTCCCGCGGTAATGCTGCCTACCAGTCGCAGCACGTAGCCACCGCTAGCGCGGGAACTCGGCTGGCAAACTCGCGCTCTGATTGGTCGGGGTTTTTCGTTAATGTCTCGGTAACGAAGCCTCGGATTACATTGTTGCTAAGGAAAAACTTGTTCCAATTCACCCTCCGAGTGCCCCATTTCCGGTTCGGACAACATTTTTGTTACACCTTGTATATACATCGCGTTTTGTTTGTATGGAACAGTGCCGTTGAAGTCTGTCTCACCCTTATTGCTACGACCGAACAGCGATAGTAGTAAAAGGCAGAGAAGTTCAAAGTTCTTGCATTCAACGTAGATGGCAGTCAAGGACATTATGCGTTATTTAATAATGGAAGCAAAGTAAGAGAAGCTTAATCGAGAAGTGACAGGGAAGTGTGTTGGAAAATGCGTGGCAATGATGTTCAAAGGGAAGTTTCGTACAATAAAAATGACTATCTGTTTACTGGAGGTATTGGGCTAATATCATAGTTATCTTCGATTGTTACTCTCAGAAACTTTGTATCGTTTTATTACTAGACTAGGTTACGCTGTGAATCTTTATGTGGATTCACATTTTCTAAAACCGTTTTTATGAGCACGGAAATTTCATTTCTTTTGTGAAGGATTTCAGGAAGTTAAATGTAGAATAATAACTTTATTAAATGAGTATTAAGATTTACTTTCACTTATTATGTGTTTAGAACACATACTTGCATTTCATACAAAGTTATGAATACATAGAATCACTGTTTTGGAAATCGGAAAGAGACTACAGAGTGTACAGTTTAGACTCACAGTCCAATAATGTTTATTATTAATACAGCGCAGAATTTATTTATTGGCGGTATATGCGTCTGTAAATGAAAACACGTATACTAAACTAAATAAAATAAAAATAAAATCCAAGAAAAATTAAAAGCAAAATGCAAAAAGTCTTTATCATACTTTGAACTTCACGAAGAGTTCTTAAATGCCGGAATGAATTTTTCTTCGATTCTTGGTGCATCTTTTTTTCTATGAAACAGTCTCCAGAAAGAGGAATTCGCAAAAAGGGTCACTCGATCGAAGCTCGTATCTGGTCATACATGGTTCGCTCTCGCGTTTGCTCGGATGACTCTACTTTCAAGTAGTCAGGCTAGCATCGACCGTACCGCGTCTCTCTATCGATAAGAAAAAATACGCCGTTTGAACGGGAATGACCGACGGATCCGTCGCGGGGATAGACCTCGCGACGTTGTCCTTAGTCCTTAATTAAATTAAGTTGCTCAGCTGGTAATATCGCTCGCGGGAATTGTAGCGTGCTAGGTGTGTCGGTGTCGTGAACAAACGCAAGTTAACGATCAAAACGATGGCTGAGTGTGTGTACATTGCGAAGGTGGCGGGTGACGGAAACGGGTCGTCCCGTATCGTCGACGACGAGTCGTTCCGTTGACGTTGCTGTTGTCCATGGCTTAACCGCTGATCATTGTAAAATAATCTTCAAATTGTATCATACGTCCGTGGAGGACGCCTCGTCGCGGCGTCTCGGGTTTCGTTTCGAACACGCTCCAGCGGGGAGCGAGGCCCGTCACAATCAATTTTAGGAGATAGCGATGTAGATTAAGGATCAACTGGTGACAGAAATTGTTAAGAAATACTTACTGCACATACATATATTTATTCTTTATTATCAACGTTCTTCTGTCGACGTGTACGTGGAAACTGTGTGACGGAGAGTCGGGAGAGAATCGAGTAGTTTAGGCCGTGTGTCCACTTGAGGGACATTATCGAGAGTGATTCTTTAATATTTTATAATATCGTTATTTTTTCATTTGAAGATATTCTTCGTCGTTTTACAGGTTCGCTTTGTTTTAAATTTTACCGTCTTTCGGATTTTAGCACTCAGTTATAATTTGTGATTAAGAAAGTTTTGACAGTTACGGAGAACTTAGACTTGTCAAGACGATCCAAATGTTCTTTTGATTAAGCATTCGACAAGTTTGATTCGTGAACATATTCTCGTTGCAAGCCTCGTCTGTATCGCAACAGTCGTTCATCCACATTCGTTCGTCAAAGATCGTTCAATACAATCGAGGTCCAACGTTCTAGTTAATTATACATATCTCCAACAAGAATTCGAGTGTAATTACTGTTTTTCCATTTTAAAACGGTTGTCCAAATTTAATTTGGCTGACACCACACTGGGCGTACCTGAGCCATATAACTTCATGCCGATTTAGAAGAATGTTCACGCGAAGAAATAAAAGAACGTTGTAAAATTGGTCAGGTGCCCATAGGATAGTGTTTTATACCCGTGAACAATTTTCTTTACAGAAAGAAACATGAAGGTTTTAATGGTCAGTTTAGGGCTGTTGAAAATGTGTCAACTGAAATGCGATTTTCTTTTTATTAGTTTCACTGCAAAATCGAGTGTCCCTAAAACGAGTTTGTGGATATGATCCTGAATCCTTTAAACGCCTATTGGTGTTAACTGCACACTCCCAGCAAATCTTCAAAGCGCCTATAGACGCCAACACGTATGAAAGTCTTAACACCTGTTTAGAGAATTTCTCCCAGATCAGTGGCCATTAGTATAGTTCTACTCTCGATAATGACTCTCAAGTGGAGAGGTAGCATCAGCAGTGCTGCTTCAAACGCGACTCGAATGCCTGTTTCTGACTGGTGTGCGTATGCGTTTCTTTATAAAACATCTGGAAATCGAATTAATTTGGTACCCGTCTGTATAAAATATTTTCCTAAGCCACGTATGTACATCGTAAGAGTCTCGTTTTTGGTTGTACATAATACTGCATTACATTATTACCATTATTATTATACTATTGCTGCTCTTACCGATAGATTACAAATAAACGTGAAGGTATATGTGGTGTAATTTGTATTCCCAGCTCTTCTCTCTATCGCTCCTAAGAATTTTATTGAATGTACGTCGGTGATCAATGGTATAGTACTTGATCTAATAACCAATAAAAGTACTTGTTTAGAAAGATTTACAAAGGTCAATAAAAAAAATGTAACTTTATATTCGATGTGGCCCGAGTGTAAATTAGAACACTAATTTTTGGTAAGGTATTAATTATTTTTCTAATGAATTTATAAACTTAATTCCGTTCCAAAGAAATACACTATGCAGGATGGATTAATGAAAATTACCCCCCTAAATGTTTTCAAAAGTAAGAGAAAAATTGTTCGAATAATAGTTTCTTTACAAGGAAATCGTTACTTCCACACGAGTTAATTTCAATGAATTAATTTCAGCGTGTGAAGAGGAGAAAATTCTGAAGTGTATAAAGTTTCAGAAATGTTTCAACAAACTATAATAAACACAGTAAGTGTCACAGCTGTCCGACGAAATGTTTTCCCAGCGCCGGTACGTGAAATTCGTTCAGTCACTCGGTCAATCGGCCCCTTAAAAAAGAAAAAATCCACGAGGAAGGAAACTGCCACACGGTAAAGATTATTGCTGCAGGCGTTCCACGTTGCTTCGATCCACGGGGAAGTCCCAAACGGACG